ACCATAAAAAAGAACCAGTCAGAAGTGAACAGTACAATAACTGAAATGAAGAATATACTAGAAGGAATCACCAGCAGACTAGATGAAGCAGAGGATCAAATCGGTGATTTGGAAGAAAAGATAGCAGAAAACACCCAATCAGAGCAGCAAAAAGAAAAAAGAATAAAAATTAAAAAAAGAGGATAGTTTAAGAGACCTCTAGGACAAGAACAATCATAACAACATTCACATCATAGGGGTACCAGAAGGAGAAGGGAGAAATCAAGGGATTGAAAATCTATTTGAAGAAATAATGACAAAACTTTCCTAACCTGGTGAAGGAAATAGACATAGAAGCCCAGGAAGTGCAGAGAGTCCCAACCAAGGTGAATCCAAACAGGCCCACACCAAGACACATTATAATTAGAATGGCAAAGGTTAAAAACAAAGAGAGAATCCTAAAAGCAGCAAGAGAAAAGCAGTTAGTTACCTACAAAGGAACTCCAATAAGACTACCAGCTGATTTCTCAACAGAAAATTTTCACCACTAAATATTCAAAGTGGTGAAAAGCAAGAACCTACAACTAAGATTACTCTACTCAGCAAAGCTATCATTTAAATTCAAAGGACAAATAAAGAGCTTCCCAAACAAGAAAAAACTAAAGGAGTTCATCACCACCAAACCAGAATTACAGGGAATGTTAGAGGGACTTCTTTAAGGTGGAAAAAAAAAAGATAAAAAATGAATAATAAAATGGCAATAACTACTTATCTATCAACATTTGCTTTGAATGTAAGTGGACTAAATGCTCCAATCCAAAACATAGGGTATGGTACTGGCATACAAACAGGCACATAGATCAATGGAACAGAATAGAGAGCTCAGAAAAAAATCCATGCATATATGGACAGTTAGTCTATGACAATGGAAGCAAGAATTTATATTGGGGTAAAGATAGTCTATTCAATAAATGGTACTGGGAAAATTGGACTGACACATGCAAAAAAATGAAACTGGACCAACTCCTTACGCCATATACAAGAACAAATTCAAAATGGATTAAAGACTTAAATGTAAGACCTGAAATCATAAAACTTCTAGAAGAAAATATAGGGACTAAATTTGCAGACATTACCCTGAGCAATATTTTTACTGATACATCCCTGCTGGCAAGGGAAATAAAAGAAAAAATGAATATGGGACTACATCAAACTTAAAAGTTTTTTTCACAACAAAAGAAACCATCAATAAAACAAAAAAGAAGCCTATTGAATGGGAGAAGATATTTGTCAACGAGATATCTGATAAGGGGTTAATATCCAAAATTTATAAAACACTCATGCCACTCAACACCAAAAAAAACGAACAACCCAATTAAAAAATGGGCAGAGGATATGAAGAGACATTACTCTAAACAGGACATACAGATGGCCAACAGGCACATGAAAAAAAATGTTCAACCTCACTAATCATTAGAGAAATGCAAATAAAAAACACAATAAGGTAACACCTTACCCTGGTCAGAATGGCTATCATCAATAAATCAACAAACAAGTGCTGGCGAGGTTGTGGAGAAAAGGGAACCCTGGCGCACTGTTGATGGGATTGCAGATTAGTGCAGCCACTATGGAAATCAGTATGGAGGTATCTCAAAAAACTGAAAATGGAACTACCTTATGACCCGGCAATTCCATTCTTAGGTATATATCCAGAAAAACCCAAGACACTAATTCAAAAAAATATATGCACCCCTATGTTCATTGCAACGCTATTCACAATAGCCAAGACTTGGAAACAATCGAAATGCCCATCGGTAGACAACTGGATTAAGAAACTACAGTACTTTCACACAATGGAGTAT